ATTGAAATAGCGCGGCGTAGTACAAGGCATCATAACGGAACCAGCATAAAATTCAATTAGAAAATTCTTGAAAGATTCACATAAATATAAGAACAATCTTTACGTAAGTGCATGAAACTAAAGAGGTTAGAGAAAAAATAATTAAAATTTAACAATTCAACTTCCTTATGAAGATTTCTCTAGATCGAATCAAACACGAATTTTCCTTTGATGAAGGATTAAGGATTGAAATTTGTTTCATTGCATATTGTAACCATGCTTATTTTTTAGAAAATAAACTACATGTACCCGTACCAAATACTTAAAGGCCTATTTACACTGAGAACGATAATATAATGATAGATCAAGACTTGATAACCTCGAGCTTACGTATTTATCCTTTGTCTTTCTTTTCCGATCACGATATTTTGAAACAAACTTGCGTTTCCTCTCAAAAGTCATTTTAAAATATATAGCGGGGGATTCTACAGTGGCTAACATGTTTGCATACATTTTCAAGAATTGAATTTTATAAAAAGAAGCACACAAAGCATTTACCATATGTAGTATATTTCAGCTTTGAAATGCGAAGTACGAGTCAACAAACTGGAAAAACAAAATGAATTTTATTTTTACATGACTGTAATTGTTCATTTTGTAATGTGACTTAAATAACGCGAATGCAATCTTCAAAACCGTAATGAACCACCTAGAAAATATTTCTCCGAATACATTATGGTTAAATTAGTAAAATGTAGGAAAGAATTTCAAGCACACATAAATAAGACAGTATTAAAATTTTGCTTTTTTACTGTTATTTGTAATGCATGAAAATCGTTCGGCAAGGTAGCAGAAGGTAACCAACATAAGTGAAAATTTCAATGATGTTGAAACGAAATTTAAATAATTTTTCTAATTTTAAATTAACAAATATAAAAAGTTTTCCAACAATGTATAACATGATTCTGCAAATGTGCGGCTTATGAAATCATTATTATAAATTGCTTTGAAATTCACTTTTATTGACTTTCTCAATGGAAGTGTATCATCGGTATTACTGATTTAAAACACATCCAGTTTGATAACGGTTACTTGAAGTCTCTATTCCTTTTATCGTCATAGTTACTTGGAAAAGTCTACGATGCCTACATGTCATCATTTTTAATGTACGTTAAAAATTCAAAGGCAAATTTTAAATATTCGCCAGAAGATTGACATGGCCATGCATTGGCCATGACAAAATAACATGGACATGACATTCTAGACAGATTTTATTATCCTACTCCAATTTAGTATTCTTATTTTGCTGATTCGTGAAGTACACACAAATGCGTAAAAACATATTGAAGGACACCCATTCCTAAATAATAGATGCAAATTTTGAGAAGAGGGCAGGTAATTTAAAAGAATGGTCGCGGGTATTCTAGAATCACTTCAGTCATTGTGTAATCCTAGTTATCAACTTCAAAAGAAATTTTAAGAGAAAAACTGTTTAGTAATTTGCAACAACTATCCCAAGAACGTTTTTATCTGTCCGTATCCTCTTCGCACGAGGTAGTAAAGCAATGAGTAGCTTTCAACAACCAATTTTTAAAAAATTGGTTAATTCCGATGTGGAAACATTATCGTTTGAAGATTTAGAATCACCTTGCCCTTTCTGAAAGTTTCATACATTGTCATTTCCTGTTATCTGCAGTTAATTTATTATCGTTCATGGACCAAATCTAGTTCGTCAAATTACGGTGGCTGACAGACAAAATGTCAGGTGGGAAATGAATGTTGTAGATAATGACGGATAAATGTTACAATAATTCTTGTTAATTGAAAACTGCTATTCGATCTGCAGTAAAGATGAATAGCTAAACACGTTTATCAAATTTTCTTCACATCTCCCTCGATGCTGAAGTAAATTTACGAGCCTGTAATAATTTTTCTTCATTGCGGAATTGAGAAAACAAAATTTCTTACGAATTATGTTATTGTGATGTGATAGGTGAAGATGAAGTCACGAGATAATTGCGCTGCAATGAAAGTCCACTTGGGCCTGCAGTAGTTGGCCACAACGATAATTTTTGTTAGGCCGCATCTTGTATAACGAATTGTTAGAGAGCATTTGGATTTGTCACAAAAAATTACGTAATCACAATAAGTATTTACCTACAGTGTGTGTACGTGTATTTTTTATATGTATGTGTGTGTCTGTTGATGTCACATTGCTTTGGCACTTGGTGCGTTCTTGAAAATTGTATGTAATACTAAAATCAATTGTTTTTAACATCGTGTTATCTTCGATACCGTGAAGGTCTAACATGTCAAAAACGTGAATTCGTAAGAAATAATAAAATATTTAACTGGAATAATTTATTTCTTTTAGTGTGTTAACATTATATAGAAAAATTTACGACAAGAAACTAAAGTTCAAAATTAACAACAAATCAATGTGAAGATCATCAAAGAGCTTTGACTTCTCATGTAGATGAAAGCTTCAAGAAAATTATTATTGGAAGGTTTTAGAAATTGTAATTTTTATTCAGCGAAAAGTTAATAAGAAGTGGCATATTTCATCAACATGTTTTTTGTCTTCTTTATACTTATTTTTGGAATGTTTAAATATTTTTTTCACTTGAGATCCGCCAAAACGATCAAATTTTTATCGTCAAGTTTCCTATCAAATTACTTCATCTTGCGTCATTATGCTAATTCGATTTAGAAAATTGAAACCTCTCTTGAATATCACATTGCATAAGCATTAATATTCAAATGTTATTGAACTGAATGATCCGGATATTTGCTTTGTAGATTACGTTTAATAAGATCACAAAAACGAAAGGAAGGGAAGTTACAGAATATTACGTGTTATTAAGTTGATTGCTACATCATTGCTTAACACTTTTGAAAAAAATAGAAGCAAGAGATCCGTTCTCTGTTGATGATCTAATCTAAACGCAACGTTGAGAAAATTGCAGGTCGTAATTTCGCGGATCAAGTTGAGCTATTACTCGCTCTTATTTTCCATTCTCGGATGACAATCCGCGCAAGGCGGTTCGTGAGCCATGAATTCCGTTCAGTGGCCATTTTGTAACGCTGTTCTCCTTTCTTCCCCTCAATTGCTCCAATTACTCTGCTACTCGCTTTTGTACACTAATTTATTCAACATAAAGGACGATAACAGCCATCTGGCAAAACAAGCGAAGAGCTTTCCGGCCGCGCCGGAGAAAGAGGACGACCCGAGGAAGGAGACCTCCGCTTCCCACACAGTCCGGTCGCCATTGCGGATTGCGTTTCGCGAAAGCCACACAAACTGCGGCACGTCCTCAGCCGGGTCGAACCGCACGGTTTTGGTATTCAAAACCAACGCCACAGATATCGATCACGCAGTTCCTTGAGGCGAGCTGGTCACGTCTCAAATATATCTTTACATAAATCGAGCAAATGAGCAGCTACTTCGCGAAGGAAAAAAAAGAAGGAAAGAAAAAAAGACGCATCGCCACCCCAATCTGCGGTGCTTTGCAGGGCGACCGCCGCTTGGCTGGGCACCTCTTCCAACCTGATTCTGTCGCGTCACGCGATGCGATGCAATTTTTTTTAGCGTGCGCTGGTGTACTTTCGACGTATCCGCAACGCCCTGCTCCCGGAGAGGCAATTTTCGGCAACGCCGGGGCCACACACCCCGCCCGAGGCCCGCCCGTTCGCCAATCGCATGGGGCCTTCCGAGGCCGGTGGAGGGCGAGGCCGCGCCGTCGCCCCAATAATTTGTAGCGTAATGCACCGTTTTATCCGCGTGGTAAATGAAGATTGTGCTAACATGTTCTCATCACGGAACTCTAAACCCGCAACACTATGTGGGTCGTAGGTGGGTGTTAAACGTAGGTACTTGCGCTTTTAGCTGGTTAAGTGAGCTACGCGAGTTCCTTGGGAAAATGTGAATGACCAAAAATATAAAGTGCTGAAAATATTACGTTTTTCTTTCAAGAGATTATTTGCAGCTTTGTAACTAAAAAATAGGTTTTACGAACGAAACTGGCGCCAAGTCGCAAGAAAAAGTTAATATTTTTGGTTTGGTTTGTAAATCACATTGTTTTAAATCTTAGCAATTCCTTTTCATTTGTACATCATACTTTATACAAATAAATTAACAATTTTAGTTATAAGCATGTTCACGTTTTAAAACTTTTCCTTGAGATTTAAGAATCATTCGTAGATTTTAGTAAAGTAATACTAGGGGGTGTCAATATAAATTCACCACGATTTCCTGGATTTCGCATGAATTGTAAAATCTCTTTAACAACTTAAATTCAAAAGACTTAGGGTAAATGTATCATTTCTTTCCCAATGAATTCCGAAACCCGAGTATCGTCACAAAAAATTTACAATTAAATTATATTGTAGGAATTTTATTGGCCTCGCCAGCAACGAGGAAAGGTCATTCTCTGGCCAGAGCAGAATGTCTTGCCATTGATGCATGCATAAATTTTGGATTTAATATTATATAAACACACTTGTTTTAACCTCCAGAAAGTCAACCTGTCACGAAAGCTTAAAAGTGAAGAGAAACTTTCATATAATGCTGTATCGCTGGAAGGTCGTTTGTCGTTTATGAACACTCTGGAAGTTGTATGTGGCATTGCACCATGCATATTCCATAATGTCTTGTTTGGTTAGTTCTAAAGTCAAAGTCGTCTAAAAGTACATAATATTTATTTTATTCTGGAAACATCCTAACTAAAGAGCACTCCTGAAAATCCTGGATGACTTACTGCGAAAGTCGCTGTGTATTAAATTGTATAGTAATGTGCTGGGTGACTTAGGGGCAACGTATTCTGGATTTATTGGTCACTATTCGTTAGGTATTTCCTGGTTGGGCGCCGTGTCGGCCTCCGTTGCAACACTGAGCAGTCAAGGCCAGGGCGCGGCAGGTGGCGCGAGCGCCCAGCGACGCACTCGGACGCGGCGACTCCGCCGCGGGTAGCACGCGCGGAAGGCGTGGCCGCGCGCCACCCCCATCACCCTCCGTCCCTTACCTGGACAAGTCGTCAAGGCCGCCAGCAGCAGGAGCAGCACCGCCGCGTCGAGCCGGCTCGTCCGCTGGCCGCGGCCAGGCCGCGCCGCACCGCCGCCGGTCACCAGCGCCGTCGCCTTGAAGGTCATCGCTGGCTGCGACGAACCACTGTGCACTCGAGAACGCGAATCCGAACTGCACCGCACTGGGGGATCGCAACGCGGGCTCTCGGCACTGCACTCTCTCGCCGGCACCGGGGGCGGAGAAGAAAAGCACGAGGCGGCGGTTGAGAGCGTGGGTGAAGCCTCCCGGGCGGACGGGTGGTGGAGGTGACGGGTGAGCGACGGAGCCGCGCTGGTAGAGCAGGACACTGTTCGCCGTCCGCTGCGCTAATGAATCACACGCTCACTCGCGCGCACGCGACACGACTGGGTGACTCCTTCTGCTCTACGTGTGAGTCATGATTGCAGTTCGCCCGGGTGAGACGGCGCTGGGCGTAGGAGGGGGCGCGTGCTCGGGGTTCGCACCTGGCGCGGGAGGTCGGTTCAGTCGCCCGCCGACGCGGTCTTCGCCGGCACCCGCGGCCCCGGCATGCCGGCAATAGACCCAGCCCGGCCCGCGCGGCGCGGCGCGGCGCGACCTGCCGTGCGTGACCTCAGCCGCACCCGCGTCCTCCAACGCCTAAAGCCCTCGGCGCCGGCGACGATCAGATACCTGCAGGCCGCTTTTCACGTCGCACACGCTCCGCGCTTCGACCCGACTAATACAGAGTGCTCCACACACTTGTCACGCACACACACTTCACTCGTATCACACGTTGTTTGCAGGCGACGAGATGACGTATTGGAACAATGGTATTGTCAGCACAATCACAGTTATTTACTGCCAAGTTACGCAATTGCTACGGTACACAGGTAGAGTTTCCGGAACACTGTCAAAATTGCGGAGTGGACATTCAATATAACGAGAAACATACACTAGCCAACTCTAACACAAAATAAAAGGTACAACAGCGGTCACATTCAACGTCAATCGATATGGAAGTTGACACAATTCCCTTGGAAAACAAGCTAGTTGTTCAAATATTCAACACGAGTCCTGCCGGGAAATAGACACTCACACGACTTCCCTCTATACGCCACTCACATCTTCGTCTCTTCTCCCAAAAAAGAAACCACGTGCGAGAATCTTGGTCACAAGAGCGGCTACGTCATCTACTCGCAGGACGACGAGGGAAGCGTCAAAAGCGGCGGTCTTCTCGCAGCGCGATCATTGATGCGGCGCGGCGGCGGGACGGCGCTGGGCCCCCGGCGTCGCTGGCGGCGCCGCGCGCCCGAATTTGCGCATCTCCGCAGAGCGACGGCCGCGGCTAATCCCTCGCGAAGGCCTCCGT